GCAAAAACACAAAACCTTATCAAGTATTTTTGGTCTAGTTTCTGCTGCAAATATCTTTGTATATTTTAAATAAGACTAAAACAGCTTACAAGGAGCTTTTCAGAAATATAAATAAGCTTATTTAACAAAATACTAGTTCAACTGGCAGATTTCTTCACTTAAGGAAAATAAGTGAAAAGTAGAACAAAAACTGTTTTATTTTTATTAATGTTCAGCAAACTCCTATATCTTGCTAACAAATTAGTTTTGTATTATTTCAAGTTTGCAAAGAGAAACTAAAACAAAAATACTTTTTGTGTTTTTGCAGTGCAAATATATTTAAAAAGGAAAATGAGAAAAACTGCGTCATAGTGGCTTAATTTAAGCCTGTATCCGTTGATACTGTTAGTCAAAAAGTTCCCTCAGTACCTACTTCTGCCATCTAAACTACTGCTATTTATCACAGTCTGACTCCTTATGCTATATTGTTATGAAAATTAATGCCAAAAGCTCCTAATTGCCCGCCTTTATGCTTTCCTTCAGGAGTGTCGATCATTAATAATTACTGATATAAGTGAAACCGCATGCAGAGCTTTCTCATTACGTAGGCAAAAGTGAACTACTTAGCAAACGCCTTCGGTGGCGCGCTAAGGAGGCGCTCCGGAGACCGCAGGTTCTTCCACGCCGAGGTGCGGCGACAGCTGCCGTCTTCCGAGGGTTTAAAGCGGAGATTTTCTGCAGTATCTGTAAGCATTTATGCAAGCAGGAGGAGGAAAGCCGAAGCGGGAGGAGAGGGACTGCACACAGAGCCACTGCGCTGCTGACAGCCTCATCTCTGCTGCTCAAAGCTTTCCGTCTGACGTGCAGCGGAGAGCGAGACAGGGCAGAGGAGAGAGGACAGCGATGCGATGTGGTAAGGGTCCATTAGCATTCCTGCTCTCAACCTGACACTGACAGCTGACACCGACCTGGTGTCCAAGGTGAGCAGGAGACAAGCACAGGAAGCAGAAACCCCCCAGAGGCCGCGCTGTCGTGTGTTTTCATGCTGTTCTTGGTTTCCTGTCCGCTTGTAGCAGAGAGGATTCTAAATATCACGGTTCTGTGACACATGTCGACGGTTCTGACCCTGCTGCCCCCCAGCCGGGCCGTCACCATATCATCTAACAGCCCACAATGAGGCGTCACCTTATCTGACTGATGCCCTGCATATTTATTCGGTTTTATTCCATATCTGCTCCGGGTGACCTCTTCGCTCGCCTCCAGGCAGGGGAGCATTTTGAAACGGTGTGAGAGAAGGTGAACCAGTGATGGTTTTCACATAATAAATAAATATTTTTCACAATGTTATGTAGTTATGCACATGCTTGGTCCCAACACACATGCTCTATTCAGAATGACACATTTACTTCAACGTTTAATCATGTTTAACACACATTTGGATGGTCTGTGTTCTGTACAAAACATGTTTGCATTTCTAGCATCTTTGTTTCTCAGCTCTTAATTGGTGCTGATTGAGCTGCTGCTGGCCACACCCCCAACTCGATGTTGAAATGGCTGCAAACAGACGCACAATTATACAACCATACATCTTTGAAAAGCAGAAGTGAAGCCTCGTGCGCAACTAACAAGAATGCAGCAAGTGGTTTCTGGATGGTAAGTCAACAACAAAACACTTATCTTTTCTGGCAGCTATTATATAACCGTAAAACCAGCTGACCAAACATGCTGGAGCTCCGCTTGGGTTGCTAGGTAACAGGGCTGGGATTGCAGTTCCTGCGGATTTGTGACTCAACGATCAGGAAGTTTCTGATACAGCTCATTTTCCAGACACCAAAATACAATAACCTATTGTCAAAAACAGCTGGGTGTTCTTTTTAAGCATATAGGGCCCAAAGGGAGGTACAGAAATGTGCAAAATGTAAGTTTGGAAAAAATAAATCCCCTATAACTGCAATAACACGTTTTATATATGTAACCATCAAATGTTCATAGTCCAAAATTGAAGACATATAAATGAATGCCTTCAAAAAATATCTTGATGCATGTTCTGCTGAGAAGGTGAAGTTAATGGTGACTTCATTCATTCATTCAGAATATGCACAGATTAATTTGTTTTCTGATTGTCAGATTAAGTATTTTTACATTTAGATCATAGCAGTAATACAGAAAAACAACCAAATTTGACCCGTTGCTCAATACAAACAATGATTGTTTGGAGCAAAAATGCATTTTGCCATAAAATCTGGAGCCTTGTCTGACATTATAATTATGTTATAATACAGTATTCTCTCAGCTGTGAGTAGATTTACATCTCTGCCGCTCTACATTTCAGCTTTTCCCCCTTAAGTTAAACTCCGTCTGACTGGTGTGCAGAGAAACACGGTTGGCAGATGTTGTGAGGTCGAACGCGAGTCTCAAAGAGCACTCCCTGCAGTAATTTTCCCAACCACTCTCGAGAAGTCTGTTATGTTGAAATCAAGGTTCTTTTCTGCAATTCAGAGCTGCAATCAATCACATTTTAGATGCCATATGTGTCAGAGATGCAATTAAGAGTTTGTTCTGAGAAACGGCAATTTGCCATATCAACAGATGACTTCCAAACGTCTCTGATGATCGGGTTTTTCAGGGGAGTCTGCTTCTTTTTCCTGTTCAATTAGAGAAATTTTATTTTTTTCTTTTTCAGGGAGGAAGATTGAGTTATTGAAGGCATTTTAGGGGGTGTAGGACGTTGGAAACTGGCTGGATTTATAAGCTCATTAGGAAAACAGAAGCAGCCTGACTTTGTCTGACCTTGACATGCATTTGGTAGGATGTTCACTCCTGGGAATGTTGAGCATCTTACTGAGAAATGATGAATTTCACATTGTTTATGAATAACCATCAGCAGATTTTCCACTTACAGTGCAAACAGCACTTAAACCCAGAATAAGTCGGGGTCCCAACTGTGAGCCCTGTGGAACACCAGAAATTATCACTTTGTGATGAAAATCTGTGTTATAATTCTCCTTATTATCATTTAAGTTAAGTAATTCATTAATGCGCTAATAGCATAGCTAATTTTTTTGTTTAGCCCTTTAGCTAATGCTTAGCACACTTAGCACTCCCCAGATACAACCATAAACTTTAATCTAAGTAAAATTTGTTATCGACCCAAACGAAGTGGTTCATGATCTGAAAAGTGTGGCGTGCATTTGTTTTCTGCCCCACTTACTCTAAACTCATCAAATAAAATCCAGTGCATGAGTAAAATAGACCCAGACCTGTTTGTAATTTAATACTGAAAGCAGTATGAATTTGTTTATTTATTTTTTAAAAATAAAAAATAAATAAATTCTAAAGTTTTGTAGATAAATTCTAAAGTTTATTCTGGTTATATTACGACTTCATTCTTGAATTACTACAACTTTGTTTTCATGCTATTATGACTTTATTCTCAAAATATTACAACTTTATTTTCACAATATTACACATTTTTCTCGTTATATTACGACTTCATTTTTGCTTTACTATGGTTTTATTCTTGTGATATTACAACTTTACTATCATTATTTCTATTTTAATTCTTTTTTCTTAGCCTGGCCCTTATATTTAGTCGTGAAACCTAAACATTTTTGCTAGATTTCCCATGTAGGCGACACAGATTCAAATCAGGTGTTTGGTCCTTGTGAGCTTTTATCTTGCTGGTATTTTCTTGTCTATTTCTCATGACTTCTCTTTCCAATTATTGCCGGTTCTGTAGCAGGGCATCAAAGGATGATGGGTGCTGAAATAATAAGGTTATAAAAAGGAGAGCGAGCCTCGATAAGGAGCCATCGTGGCCTCTCCGGTACGTCTCAGTCACTCTATCGTGGCTGTAATCTCACCTTTTGAAAAGTACCAGACTTTCACTTTGCTTTATTATCAAGGAAACGCTGTGTGTTTGAGATGATCTGATAGCAGGGAAGCAGAAAAAAATGCAGACAGGACTGAAATAAAGTGGTTTTGCAGAGATTTCTGCTCACCTCCTCATTAGACCACTTAGCGCCCTCCCGGTGCATAAACCCACGTAAAGACATCGGGGGAATCTGACCCTGACTGGTCCTGATTTCAAAGCACATTTGCATGATATCCCCTCTGAGTCCAAATGTACAAAGATTATGTGATGGAACATGTGTGGTATGTGATGTCTTGTCTGCTCACATCAGCTCGGGCATTACTCTTCTGCACCCCGCGGTCTGAACATTACAGTATTTTCTGCATGTTCCTCCTTTGTGATCAAATGGCGTTGTCAAAGGATCGGACAGGTGACCCCTGGGCAACGAGCTCGCGTCCAAGTCTCTTTCGGACTGGCTTGATTTTACCTAGCAAGCCCGGTCTCTCTGCATTAGCCGCACTACCAATCAAGAGTAACTCAAAAATATTACTGCCAGGCCTAAGAGGCTTTTGGAAAAGACGTGACTATTAGCACAAAAAGCATGTTTGTTGTTTCTCCCTTTGATTTCCTTAAGTTGCAATAAAAATAATGTATCACCACTCAAGTTATTAGTTATGATCAGGACAGTTGAGTGCTTGGACATGAAAAATGGAAGAGTTTTGCATTTAAAAAACAAGCAACATTAAATTAGCCAGGCAGGAATAAACAAAAGGAATATTTTACAAAGCTAAGAACAACTTTCCTTTGTGAGTTGAGAGCATGTTGGGAGTGCAGCAAGGTTATTATAGTTAACAAAACAAACAAAATAACAAAAAACTGAAATTGAGAAAACATTTTTGTTAGCAGTAATTAGCAGGAAAATACTATAACTAACTGGGAAATAAATATATTATGCGCTTATAAAACTAACTGAAATTTGTTTTTGTGTTCATTAAAGTATTTATCAGCCTTTCAAAACTGCAGGGAAAACCAGCTGAGCGAAGGTTCTTGGGTTGCTAGGTAACGAGGCTGGACTTCGCTGAGGTTGCTAGGTGACGAGGTGGGGTTGCTAGGTGACGGCCGTTTTCTAGTCAGTCTGTTGTTCAACAATAACTGAATACATTTGTTGTTTAAAATCAGGGCTAAAATCCAATCTATTTAGAGTTGCTTTCCATTTGTTCTCCATAATAAATGGAAAATTGACCAACATATTTGATGTGTTGACAATGCTACATAATAAAATATAATCTCTATTACTGGTTTGTCAACTGGTGACTAAATTAAGTTTATATGAGTTTTGATTTTGTGTTTTTATGACTGAACTGCCATACTGATTAGATGTGTTATTCTAATAATCTTGATTGGTTTATTGGAAATAGTATCTTCTGTTGAGTTTTTATTTCCCGATCGATTTTAGCATCATCACAACACAATTCTTGGACCTTTTCGAATTCTGCACCTAAAATGAACCAAAGAATAAAAAAGTTAAAACTACTGCTACAACACAAACTAAACTGAACAATATTGAACCAATAATAATAAAAACTAGCAAGCACATTTTAAAAAACTAACCGAATTAGACAAACAAAAGGTCCCAATGAAATAAAACTAAAATGAGAACTGAAAAACCGTGGCGTGTAGACGACGTTTTTAATTAATCTGCAGCGTTTCACTGCTCCATCTGTTTGTTCTGCCTGCATGTGTGAGTTTTTCTCACTGTGCTTATCTCTTCACTAAGTGTGACCTCCCTCTGTTCACCTGTTCCTCTCCATTTCCTTCGGTTGCTGTTAGTGATTGCTCACCGAACACTTCCTCGACTTTGAGGCGACAAGAGTGAGGCGCTTTTAACACCGTCGTATCGCATCATTATTCACGCTGGGCGCGCCGCGTTCGAGGGCTTTCTCTGAGTCTGGAAACATGATGAGTCTCGTTCCCAAAGTTAGTCACATGTTTCAGCAGTGACTGTGAAAAGGAAAAACACCCCAGATTAGCTGTTTTGGTAAATTCGGGTTGTGAGGAACATTATTTAATCAACAGCAAGAACAACAACTATTACAAAGTTGTTTTGGTCTAGTTTCACTTGAAATGAGTCAAAACTAACTGCAAGTACCGTTTTTGAGAAAAATAGCAGCAGAAAGTTATACTTCCATTGGCAGATTATTTTATGCAAGACATTTTCCCATTTTATAAGTGAAATAATCTGTCAGTGTAACTATCATTTTTCACCAACATTAAGAATTATGACTTAAAACAAGTTCATTTTTTACTGAAAAGTTATTGTAAGTTAATTTTGTCTTATTTTTAGAGTACTAAGATATTTGCACTAGAAACTAAACCAGAAAATACTGTTGAACCAAAGGGCTGAATGAAAGCCCTTTGGCTTAGCCCTGTTGTTTAGCAACCCCAAACGGAGCTCCAATAAGTTTGGTCAGTTGGTTTTACTGCTGTACAATGGCTGCTGGAACAGACAAGTGTTTTGTTGTTGACTTACCATTCAGAAACAACTTGCTGCATCTTTGTTGATTGTGCAGGAGCCTCCAGTTCTGCTTTTCAAAGATATACAGCTGCATAATTGTGCATCTGTGTGCAGCCATTTTCACGTGGCCAGCAGCAGCATATTTGGATTTAAAGTGACCAAACGCCCTAAAACTAAATGAAAAGACTAAAATCCCATCATCTAAGAATAATTTAAATTAATAAAATGTGCAACTGCATAACATTCAACACTGATCATCATTCTGTATATTCTGAAATGATTCAAATGCTTCCAGCCAGTAACAGCTGCCTCACTTATCCAAATTTAAAAGACTGGGAGTCATTTTTGTGATTGCTAAGGAACTTCTGTGAGTCAACACTCCCAGCAGGTGTGACTGTTGACTCAAGTTCTTCTAAAACTAGCTGTAAACAACCAAAAAGTCAGTCAGAGAATCTGCAGACAGCCTTGTGCTAAAACGACTCACGCGGTATTAAAGGCTGTCGCCTCTGATTTGACAAACCTCCTTCCTGCCAGCTGAGCCAATGTGAGAATGAGAGCGAGTGCTGGGTTTAACGAGGCACATGTGACCAGAATTTATTTAGTGATTTCATTTTTAAGTTTGTCAAAGACATATCTTTCACTCTGCAAAAAAACAACAACTAGAAACCCAGAAATGAATGCTATAGTTTATAAAAAAAAAACAAGTTCATTAAAAAATTTTTCCACAAAATCCCTCATTGAGATTTTAGCCTGGTCAGTTCTGCCTGTTTTACAACTGCACAACTTTGAAAAGCATTAGTAGAGCCTCCTGCAAAACCAACAGGAATGCAGCAAGTGGTTTCTGGATGGTAAGTCCACAACAAAACTCTTGTCTTTTCCAGCAGCCATTGTACATACAGCGGTAAAACCAGCTGACCAAATGTGTTGGAACTCTGTTGGGGTTGCTAGGTAACAGGTTTGGGCTATCCTGGGGTTGGTAGGTATCGGGCTACGCTTTACTAATTAGTGACGTTACATTCAGAAAGGTTTCTGGAATGACTCATTTTCCAGATACCAAAAAACAAACCTATTGCCAAAAAAAGAGGCCAGATGCTTTTATTTTGGAAATAATCTCCGTTATCTCTCATCTTGTTTTCCCATTATTACCTAAATTTCATGGGAACATCCGTTAAACATACTGGGAAGAACCGGATGGACTGACGACTGTATGAGAAACTAGACAAAGGGATCAACTGACTGAATTTCGGTTTTACATTCTCCCTGAAATCAACAGTAATTGCAAGTCAACTAAACTAAACAAAAAGAACAAAAAGTTCTTTGTTTAGATAGAAACATTTTCGAAGACAAGAAAATTTCAGAAATCATTAAAGCCTTAAATGTGGAAAAGTTAAAACCCGCAGCATGTTTCCGTTTCATGCAGAAGTTACCCATCAGAACGGCAACAACAGAGTCGGTTGCAGCAATTAGGGAAACAAGAGGAATGCTGTACATTAGCACAAAAGAAAGCAGCTAGAGTTAGCAGAGCAAATTAAATATGAAACAAAGCAGTTTCAGATTTGCTCACAGAATCATGATGGGCTTTTTACAGCCGTTTTAAACCAAGGTCAAACACCTTTAGCTCAAACAGATGGCTTCTGCCACAAGCACCCCACATGATACAGTCTAATTGGCATTACCGCATTATTTATTGACCATTTACTGATGGTCAATTAGGCTACCTCACTGTTTGCTTTCATTTGCTAACCTGCAACTCATGAGGACCTGTCGAATTCCAACTAATTACATTCACACATCATATGGGTGGTTACACAACATACTCACATCTCCACTTGAAACCCCGTCTGCTTTCCGCTGTGTTATTCGTTGTGCTATGCACAAATTAAAAAACAATTATAATTTTTTAAGCTCTTCCTCTTGAAATGAGACTTTCTCGTTTTCTTTAGATGCTAAACTTTCTGTTTATTTGTTTTGAGTAAAGTTTTTGCTTTGACCAAACAGTAGATGAAAGTTATACTGATTTTATCTTTACTACCCGTTAGCTCTGATAACGAGGGTTCCTTTTTCAAAGTCAGGTTCAAATAAATATTTAGCTAGCAAGCACAATATTTAGCATTATTAAGTTAAGAATGAAATAGGTAGTATGCAAATTATCTCATTTTCACGTGCAAGTGTAAAGGTTGAGTTGGTCGTGCAAAAGGGCATGGAGTCATTTAGACACAAAAAACTAATCAAAAAAATAATTTTAAATGATATATTCTTTTTATTACTAGCAATATGTCACAAAGACAAAAATATAACTGAAACTCAAAAACAATTCTTAGACTAACTTGTCCTCAAATTAATAGCCACTCTAACAAGAGCTCTAGCTGTATGGCAGTTAGGCTAACAGCAATGCAAGCTAACTGCATCTTAAGCCTGTATCCAATTAGACCAGCTAATTAAGCTAAAGGATAGACAGGCTAACTGCTGTTGAAATGAAAATCTATTTCGAAAAATTGCTGCTTATTCTAACTCAACTTTTACTTAACAGCTACTTAAGTTACTATGACTCAAACTAAAAGTCACTCAGTCTAAATGCTACTTTAGTTAATAAGGCTAATGGCTAGTTAAACTGAGATAAAGTTTCTTAAGCTATAGCCAACTTTCGCTTATTGGCGGCTGCAAACAGATGCGCAATCATACAACCGTACATCTTTGAAAAGCAGAAGTGGAGGCCTCTGCACAACCAACAAAAAGGCAGCAAGTGGTTTCTGGATGGTAAAACCAGCTGACCAAACATGCTGGAGCTTGGCTTGGGGTTGCTAGGTAACGGGCTGGGCTTTCTAATTTGTGACGTTACATTTGGAAGATTTTTATTTTTGAAACAACTCATTTTCCAGACACCAAAAAACTTGAACTTATTGCCAAAGAGTCCCTGCGTGTCTTTTTCTAAGCACCTGCGCTGCTTTTGGATGTAGTAGAAACCCAAATGGAAGTCCAGAAACATGCACAATGTGAAATTTTACGTAATCAGTCGCCTTAAAACTCGTCAATGGTTTTTAATTTCAAAGCTCAGCTCCCATTTTTGATGCACATTTAGTTTTGCTAATTAAACTTTTGCTCTCCTTTTGCCAAACTTCACCAAACTTCTGAAAATGCTCGACAGCTAAAGGCTAACGGCTAGCTCTGTGAGACACACGTGAAGCCAGGTGAGCTGCAGGACCCCCACCTGGTGCTGAACGCAGCACGACACCGGGCGACGTTCGCTTAATGAACCTCACTGGCTGTCACCACACTCCTCACTTTCCATTTCATTTGTTTATTCATTCATTATTATCTCCTGCTTCTCCAATTAGGTTGGTTTTGCATCAGAGAGACAGAGGTGTTTGCAAGATCAGAATGACGGCAATGTCTTGGGCAACTAAAGAGTTGGCATTGAAGGGTAATGGTCCCACCCACAGGCAGGCAGATCTAAGAGGGTGATTAACGAACTCCCCGGGGAGAAACCCAGCGGGGGGCCGGCGTGTAAGCGAATGCCTTCATACTTTTTCATAAGCTTTATTCCCATTTAACTTTCTTTTATCTCATGTTTTATATTGCAGAGTAATTTCACATCTGCCCCTGATGTTCGTCGAAAACAAGCAAACACGTCTTCCTGTTTTCCATAATAATGGGAAACATTTTGCTCACGCGATGCCGACAGAGCGAGCGGCTTCCATCAATCTAAATGGGACTCAACGATGCAGCCCCTAGATTTCCACCGACGTCCCCAGGAGAGCCGGGATTCACAAAAGCAGCTCAGATGGTTGGATAAGTCGAGCTCAATCTCCAACGAAACATAGAGGCCTATTTTATCAAGCTATATAAAGGCCAGGTTGATGGGGTTCTAAAAATATGGTGGTCTTAAATTTCTAGACATTCTCGCTCTGATAAAAAGGATACAGCAACTCACTGTTCTACTTTTTCTTTTTTCCCAGAGATGTGCTCCGTATGTCTGCCCTGAATTTCAATGAGAAAATCCGTCTCTTTATCACTTTGTGCAACACTTTCAGTCTCCTAATCTCCTAACCTCTGTTTTATTGCCACGCTGTCATCAAAGTCTTCAACGCCTGCCATTTGTCACGATTTCCTACTCCCAGCAGGCCGTGCGGTTCTTCAGACCCACAGCTCTCCCAATTACAGTCACAATGAGTGCATCGTTTACACCGCCTCTGATTGGGATCATGCTTGGGTTGCATCTTTTTCCTTGACAGAATATTTATGCGTTTGACACCAGATGCACGGATCTATAAAATGTGGTGAAGATGATGGATGGTGGTGATGATGATGTCTAGGCTGCTGGAGGTTTTCATGAGCTCTAAAAGATGCTGGAGAAGGTTAAAGGAAACAATCCGGACGAACAGAGAAGAGATTGGTTACAGTTGACCCAGGACTGGATCCGATGTTTAAGACGATGAGGCAAAACAGAAACATTGCAGATCAAGAGTTATCAGATTGGGCAGGTTGGCTGGAAAGGACAAAACTTTTAATACAATCTAAGCATCTTATTGGTTAATTTACTTTAAAATCTCCAAATTTGTCAAACGTGATGTCATCAAGAGCTAATTCAGGGGCAACAAACTCATTTTGGTTTTGGCCAAATCAACATCATAAATGCTCTTAAAGAGCCGGTTGTGCCAGAATGTATTGATAAAACCTGATCACAAACTGTTAAAATATCAATTAATTCTTAAAATTAAATAATATTATCAAACATTTTCAGTCCCTCCAGGATTTTGTGATTCTTTTTGTGGTCTTTTGTAATAAAAATCAAAGTGTTTGTGGTACTAATTTGGAAATATTTGTGATATTTATGATGATAAATGCGACTTTTTATGGACTATAGTCTGACAGCTGTTTAGTACAGGTAAGAAAGTTTTTGACAATTTTTGAGAAAAATCTGCAATAAACTCCCATTAGGAGGGATTTGTAGATTTTGTGTGAATTTCCATTTTAATTCTCAAGAAACTGGAGGGACTGATTGATATAACAGATAAAAACTGCACTGATTTGATTGAAAACAATATTTAAGCACACTTAGTGTTTAGAGGGTCACAAAAAAAAGCTACTGCGGGCCGGATTTGGCCCACCGGCCTCGAGTTTGACACTTGAGTTAAGTCCCCTGGGATTTGTTTCTGGTCAAAATATAATAAAATAAAACCAAAAATGTTGTGAAATGTCACAAGTCTGAATGCAGCCGATGACATATGGGACACCAGACATGATTTTCATTAGAGGTTGAGATTTTTTACTGTTTTTCTAAGAGATGGGTGGTTTTTACTTTGTTTTTGGGCTGGAAACAGTCAGTGCAAGTTGTCTTTGGCTGGAAAAGAGGTCAGTGGTTCTGTCACACAAGACAACCACAGACAACTAAATCATCCCAGAAGCAGAGATTTCTTCTCCCAGAAAGCTTTTCTCCTAAACGGCCCATTATCACAGGGTGAACCCGGGTTTACGGCCTGTACTGCTTTGTTTTTTGGTTTTCTATCTAAGTCAGACATCATGTTTGTAAAACACAAACTGGAAGTTCTGCTCTTTTCATACGTCACGGCTAACCGCTAGCTATTAGGATATAATATATTCAAGCTACATCCAGATGCTGCTTTGTGGTTATATTTATTTTTATACAGTTTATATACAGCTGAAACAAAGCTAACATGTTAGCTATCCAAGCTAATAACTAGTCAAGGTCAGAGATGTTCAAAACAACTGATAATCAGGCTAACTACTACTCATCCTCAAGATATCTAAGCTAACAGCAACCAAAGCTAACAGCCACTCAAGCTAAAAACTACTTCAACCTTTTAAAGCCAATAGATACTCAAAGAACCAATCAATGAGTTTCTCAAGATAAAGTATATTAAGCTAATACTTGCTTAGCTAATAGCTAATGAAGTTTATAGTGAGCTAATCTAAGCAGCATTCAGACTAAAGCCATTTCAATCCAACAGCTACAAAACAACTAATCAAGCTAATAACAAATCTAGGAGCTACTCAAAATAATTTTAAGCTAACTGCTACTTAGCTAACAGCAAATCAAGTTTACAGCAAGCTAATCTAGACACCATCAACACCCAAAGTGCTAAGCTAACAGCTACGTAAAGCAACAGCTACAAAGACTAACAGCTTTAGTGAATGGAATAATACGTCTAGCTTTAAAAGTGCTACTTTCCTCTTTGCATTGCTAAGCTAACCATGTGCAATTCCAGAAATAAGCAGTTTTTCTTTGAGAAAACACAGCCAAGAAAACAACTGCCAAAACAGAGCAATTAAAAAAATCCTAATAGTGTGTTTGCTCCAACTAGAGCTGGTGGGAACCTCCTCTCACAAGCTGTTATCTTGATTCCTTCATAATAATTTCTCCCCCATTCTTCAAACTGAGATCTCAGACAGCTGTCTACTGCAAGGCAAAAATAATAACTACTTTCAACATCTCCACATATCTTTTCTTCAGAAAAAGAAAAGAAAAACCAGAACTGTCCCTTTAAGGAGTGATAGCAGTATGGTTTCTTCAGTTAATCTGCCTGATTTGCTTTACACTCGTTATCTTGCCTGGGTTTTTACACTTTCAGTAAATCATCCTCATTCTGTCACATCCATCTGCTGGTCATTAGCTGTTTTCTGTCACCGAGGAATTAGGGAGGGAGACGCTAAGAGCTGAAGTGACTCCGCCGCAGTCTCGGCAGCAACAACCGAGGTGGCTTGTTTTCATATCGCTGACCTTCTTCACACATACGCTGTGATGTATGCGTGATGCTAAGAGCGAGGCCGACGAGCATATGCAGATATTTGACACTTAACTGCTCTGCATCCCAGGCATCTGTCGCAGCCACTAGCTCGTGTTTCCTGTGGGGAGTTGCCATGCGGGTGCTTTGAGTTCAATCTGAGCGGGTTGCCAGATCTGTAGTGCAAACGCTGCCGCGTTATGACACGACTTCCCCCCTGTTTTCATCTCGTTTGTTTACACCTGGCTTTGCGCAGACTAGCTAACGTGAGGTTGGACAGGTTGGTGCTGCAAAGCAGCAAATATTTTGCAGTCAAACTCAGTTTTATTCACATCAACATGAAGAATGTCCACTAGCGGCCGATTGCAGCTACATTTACTCAGTTCAATGACGGATTGGGAGTGAGAAATTACATAATCAGATCACAATATTAAGAAAAGTGGAAATTTAGGGACTTTAAGGACTAAAATGACAACAAAACATAACAAATATCGACCAAAAGAAATGTTTCCAGATCAGTTTCTTTCAATGAAAAACTTCTGTAACTAACAGAAACTGCAGGTGTGAGTCTGGTGAGTTTTTGTTAAAATATGTTTGTTTTCCATTCGGTTGGTAGAAAATCCAGAAATTTTACTCAAGTCAGAGCAGAAGCACTTCATAATAAAATTACTCAAGTAAAAGTAAAAAGTACAGTGCAGTAAAATCCCCCCTTTTTTAAAAAAAACAAAACTTGCTTACGTAAATGTAACTGGTTCTGGTTTTAACCAAAATTCACACCTGCAATGTTTTTGTTAAAATTTCAGAAGTTTTATATTGAAAGAAACTGATTTGGAAAAATGTTTTTTGGCCTTTACTGTCATTTTTGTCCTTAAAATACCAACAATTTATAAGCCTGGCAGCCCGTCAGGCTTATAATACCAGGCTAAATGTGTTTTGTTTATTTTAAATAATTTTTTAATACACCAGTAGCAGTAATAGCAAAGACAGGTTAAGATAGGTTTATAAATAATAAAAGTCAGTAATCTTCAGCAGATAATTAGCTTTTAAAAATATAAAACATTTGATTACGCATACAAAACCTACAGAAAGACGAGTTTTATTTAATCCGCTGCTGTATTTTCTGTTTTATGTACAAAATTTCCTGCCAACTTTTAACATTTTTTAATAAAAAATAAAACTGGACTGAAATGTTACACCTTTCTCTGTATTACATGAGAACTTCTTCATAAAATGAAACTGATTTGATTTGACTAATAAAATTATATTTTAGCACTAAACTGTATTTATGAGTCTTGAGGGCCACATAAGCAGCTCTGGTGGGCCAGATTTGGCCCACGGGCCTCGAGTTTGACACCTGCTTTAGAGGAAAACATCTATTCAGTTTGTAGGAGAAAAGAAATTCAATTTGTAGAGTGAAAATTGGTCATTGTCTCCAGGAAGATTGTTCCATTCAAATTATGACATTGAAACGGCTCTGGTATGAATCTGCAGGCGGCGCAAGGACAAAGCAGAAAAACTCATGAATATGGACTTTTTTTCCCCACTCGATCGTGGTCCAAAAAATAATAAGTCGATGGAAAACGAGCATGAAACTGACAACAAATTGAACGTGTCTCACTCTGGTTGTCGTATTTTAAACAGGACCTCCTGCTGATCGGCTGCAGTCTGGTTGTCATGCTGATAAACAAAAGGCTTTCCAAGGGGCAGTTTTCGCTCCGGCCGGCCATAAACCGTTTGAATCTTTGCACATTTTCATGATGTGCTCATTGACATTTGGATTTCCCAGAATTAGGCGAGGGAGGGTGCCTTTTTTCCCTTTTTTTTTTTTTTTGTCACTTCCCTCTGAGCATGAATTTATAAATTGAAAAACTAGACAAAAATGACCTTAATCCGCTCTCCGTCATTCTGCAGGAAATGTTCGTGCTCTGCAGGGACCGGGTTTACTGCCACCATCTGTTGCGTTTTTCATTAACAGAATCTATTTCTTCATTTACCCGTGCATGCTCAGACAACGCCGCGGATCCCAGGACGACCCTAAATCCCGGATCGGAGAAAGAATGAAAACACCAACTTCCTGCGGAGAAAACGCGCTCCCAGATTAGGGCTGTAATTGCAAGTGTGGACATTAATCACGGATTACGCCGATGACATTTTGTGTTTTTCCAGGTAAAGTCGGGGTTAAAAAAAAATCACCCAGTAAAGCTGACTCAGGATAAACTCATATTCTGTTGCTACACTGTAAAAACACAAAAGTATGTTCATCTAATTTTAATGAAAATATCTCAGCACATTTGAAATAAGACAAAACGAACTTACAAGTAACTTTTCACCAAGATATACCAGCTTGTTTAAAATCAATAATTTCAGTATTGGCAGATTATTGAACTTGTAACAAGACATTTTTCCCATAAGTGAAATCTGCCAATGGAACTAGTACTTTTCCTGCTGAAATTATTTGTAAGTTAGTTTTGTCTTATTTCAAGTGTACTAAAATATTTGCACTAGAACCTGGACAATAATATTTGGTGATATTTTGTGTTTTTGCAGTGTATTGAAAGTAGTTCAGGGCCAAAAAAATAAGATTTTTTAAAATAATAATAAAATGCTAAAGTAAATTCAAATTAGTTCAATCATTAGGAACTAAAGAATTGAAACACACTAAAGAGTTTGTGTAGAGGCACCAAAACTAAACCAAATTTACTTGGTAGGATTTTCTGTTTTTGCAGTGTACTTGTACTTGCTGACAGACAGTTGATGTAAACTTTTCTAGCGGTAAAAATCTACTTTCTGTCCCAGATTTAGAGGTTCCAACAACAGTAAATCTTACTGTTTTTGCAACAAATGGCCGTCTAAAACAACCACTGATAGAGCTTTGTTTTTACCGCGCGCGCTTTATGATGTTTTAAGCAGCACATATTCATCTTTTCTGGGCTCTGCCAAGTTCTGCGGCTCGCGCCGAGAGGCCGCCCGGCCGGCATATATCATGTCGCCGTTCTCGGATAGGTTTATTGATTTTGCACTCCCCTCAGCACCATCTCTCAAACTTTTCTACACCAGAACTAACTGAGACAAATATTTTCCAACTGCTTGAAATAGATCATTAGCCAATTGGAAAAGATGGACCTTAAGCCCTGCAGATCCATAGAAGGGATTAGAAGGAAGGGGAAGAGGAGACATCTGGACACGTTTGCTGTAAACGTTCAATGTAGGGTGAAGAGATTTACTTTTCGCTTTTTGAACTGGTTGTAAATACAATGGAGGTTTGTTATTGATATTTGAGGCTCATATCTTGTTTGGCTATTAATAGTATGCTGGTATATTTGATGTGTCTTGATAATCCCATGTATTTAGGAGCACATGGCATTCAGAGTATTTATGTGTTTAGGTTTTTATGTCAGAACAACGGATTCTGAGAGGGAAATTTCCAATTTTTTAGTCACCATGCACACAAAATTTATTATAAAAAACTTTTTTTTTAGTGTTTCTGAAGCTCAATGTTTGTGGTTTTATTGCAGTAACATTTTAAAATCCTCTAAATACCCAAAACCTAGAAACAGTTCCATGGTGACATACAAAATCTCAGTGAAATTTTACCATTTATTTGCATAAAATTGCCCACATTACACTCCTAAAATCTATAGTCTAGTCACTTTAAAATTAGTTAAAATTTTTATTTTTAATGACTATAGTTAATTTTTATAGTTTTATTTTTGTCATTGGCTATATTTAAGAATTTTCATAAATTATATCAGGTGTAATACAGTATTACACCTGATATAAAAACATCTGCAAGCAGGAAAAGTAAAACAGTAACTTTTCCACCAGTCATTCTTTATGTGCTGCTAGCTTTAGCATTTTAGAGCACCTAAAATATATTTTAAAAGAAACATAAAAAATGGTTTAAGACTTGTTTATGTTGATTACATTTTCAATGAAAAGTGAGTTTGTGTTTTTTATGTTTCATTTTTGGTGTTGAGGTTTATTATAATTTTTTTAGCCAACAATGACAAGTGATTGTTGCCTAACTGAGCTGAGAAACAGAGCAGCAACATGTGGGGGAGGGGAAGTGCCAGTGTCATGTTCATCCAAGCAGATTATATCCCACAGTGGACAATTAACCTTCTGCAATGTTGTTTTCATGCCAGGATTTCTGATCATTACCGGTTAGCTTTAGCTGTTAGCATGTGACATGGCAATTTACATTTAGCATAAACTTTAATAGAAAAAGAAGAAAAATACATTATGTGATCTATATTGTCAATGGAAAGGTCCAAATGTCAGAAAAAGACACTATAGAGACCCTGTTAGCTAACGCACAGATCACTACTTTGACAAAATGCTGTCCTGCTCCGTCAGGCGTCTTTTAATCACAAAGTAGCATAGCTAGCTGCATCTGGAAGCTAGAAAAGCAGCAACATTAGCATTTGTTAATGTTTTAGTTGTTAAATGTCACATGTTCTTCTTTAGCAATAATTCAGAAATCATGTTCAGCTAATTAGCTAAAACTGAGTTGGTTAAGCTGCTACATCTAGATTAGCATACATACCCAATTAAGCTAACATTACACACTAACTTCTCCGTACTTGTTTCCTTCCACCAAGCAGGTAAGGACAAGACAATGAAAGATGCACAAACACAGAGGATTTTTTAGTGCGCTTTGTTGTCTCTGATGCAATTACAGTGTGAATCATTCTGTGCTTTATCTTCCCGTCTCCATGGATTCTGGTCAAACTCCATCTCTCCAAGATGTACAGAAAAAACAGACCCGAGGAGCATGTGCGCCATAAAACAAATAAAAACAAGCAGAAGTCAAAGTGTCATGTTCAATTTTAATTTGTTTCTTGTTATAGTACAAATGCGCACAAAAATGTTCTGCAAGATGAGAGCGGAAAAAAAGGGAAAAACCGACACCTTGAGCCAAATAAATTATGATAGCACATTCCCAGATCACTTCCCCGAGAGTAATCTATGAGGATTTGAAATTAGGCTGCTCTCTGTGCATACTAATTGCAGACAGCCTGGGATAAACATATGATTTCACATTTTTTTAACACAGTTAGTCATTGCCATAAAATGTTTTTTTATTTTTTTTGCGACTCTGCTCCGACTTCAGGCAAGGTCTTTTCTGATCAAGTTAATTACTTTGAGGAGAGCAGACAGAGAGGCTAATTAAGAAATATGTCTAACTGAACTGTGGTCAATGACAGCCCTACTCCTACCACTGGGTTCTGACCTAGATCACTAATGCCTCCTATTTAGGAATTACCACACCACAAATATCCAATCAAACGTCCAGGAATCGCCTCCCGTCGTGGCAGGCGGAGCCGCCATCGCCGCCTGGTTTCCTGGGTGGTGCAGGAAGTCACCAGCAATCAGAGGAGTTCACGCCAAGTTGTTGATTGCTTCAAATTAAGAGTTTAAAGAGAACCGACTGTGTCACGGATGTGGCTCAAACGAAGGCGCACAATAAGACACTTAAATTATAATCAGCGCTTTTGCTGGACAGCGAGACTTTGGACAAGTTTTAATAACCGTTGGTGCAGCTTTAACGACGCTGGGCGTCGGAAAAGTTTCTTTTTATGATGAGATTTTTAGTCAGAAGACAGAGTTTAACTGTTACAAGTGGAGAATATGATGGAGAATTAGGTCTGCACTAAAAAGACATTAAAAATAAATTAAACTGAGAATAAATTCAGAATAAAGTCTGACTTATTTTGATAATATTTTGACTTTATTCAAATTATAAATGAAAAACTCAATTTCAATTTGTGTGATTTATCTTTTTTTTTCTAATTTTTTGCTGAAATGTGGATTTAAAACTCTTCAGTCTGTTGCTTTTTTAAGGATTATTTTGGTTACAGAGACTCCATAAGTATTTATTGTTTATGTTGTTTTGTTTATTAATTTTCATATTCCAGTGTTGAACGTTCATTCGAATTTAAAGTTTATGTTGTTTCATTATTACCATTATATTACTTGAAAATGGTCTCAAAACAACAATATTATCGTTTATTGCAATAACTTCTGGGACAATTTATCGTCCAGCAAAGTTAGTTATTGTGACAGGCCTATATTATGTTTACAGACCTAATTGTACAGAGATTGGATTATTTTAAACATTTGCAGAAAAACATTATTATTTGTCGCTTTGTGTTGGTCACTTAAACTCCCAATAAAACCCGTTGAAATGTGAGGCTGTAACGGGACAAAATGTGAAAAACGTGAAGCGGTATGAATACTTTTGTAACTTTTGCAGAAAAACAAACAATAGTTTGCTGTGAAAACTTTAGCGGCTCGTCCTGCAAAAGACAGGCCCACTGCCATGGCTGAACAAACTTACTCACATGTGATTTTAATCTAATTTCTTATTCAACAGAAGCTCTGTTTTTCCACATTAGCAGAATACAGACAAAGTCCATGAAAACACAGGTTTAGAGCCGCCGACGGCCACTGAATTATTTATGAGCAACGTTTCTGAAAGGTGCATTGGAGGATTTGTGAGCGGGCCGATGCATGTCCGGTGGCCTTATTCCATGGCAGTCCTCTAATGCTTTGATAAATGGCTGTTATCTGCAGCCTTTGGTGTATGACGGCCATCTGCTATGAGCTCCTTAAGGACCAATTGGGAGGCGTTGAGGAATCTGGGTCAGCTCAGGTGGTTGCATTAGGAGGAGAAGGTTGCTGACCGTGAGAAGTCCGCCAATCTCCCCGCGTGACGCGGCGGTGGCGCGGCTGTGACCTCCTTATCGGCGCAGACAGAACTCGGTTTTTCAGTTTGCGCTCGGAGGCTTGCCTTGGAGGGACTGGCTCTAAATCAGGATGGGTTCACCCGCCGCACCGGCGATTCTGCACACTCATCTCCGCAAGAGCACACTGCAAAAACAGACTTTAGCTTTAATTAGAGTTAAAGCAGTTACTTTATTAACTTTGTGGATATTCCTGACAGAATGAGCAAAAATAATTAAACAGAAGCTCACCAATTTCCATTTGAATGACTTATCGTTTTTGTTTACAGTGACTTTATAAATAACTTTAGTTACTGATTCATGTTTGTTTTCCAATGTTAAATATTCATTAGAATTTAAACTTTACTGATCTTAAAGAATGTGTTCTTGTATTATTATTCCATTATTACTGACATTAAAGTTTTGAAAAAAAAAAAGAAATCAGGCTTAAAATTGGTGATTTTTCCGGGGGAAAAAAATCTTTTTTTTTTTTTTTCCAAAAGACGATTTAGGCACACAAAAAAAATCACTTTTGGCAAAAAAAAAAAAAAAAAAGGTGGTGATATGTTGCTTGTTACCTAATAATTTTAAATAATTCAATTATAAAATTTAGGACGACAGACTGATTTCCAAGCCTTCATGAAGTATTTTAAGATTTTATGGTTTTTAGAAAATAATTATTCCATTTTCTGGAGGGGATTTAAATACATATAACTTCAATAAAAACAAAAAATATAAAGTTATAAAAGATAAAAACTAGTAAACTTTACATTTTGTTGAGCGCCAACCTAAGTCAAATATGTTGTTTCATTTATTATGATTGTAAATCAACTTAAACAGGTGTAGATTTAAAGGCACTCAGTGTTTCGGCTGTTTTTCACTTTTCTGGAAGTTTGTTCCAGATTTGAGGTGCATAGAAGCTGAAAGCGTTCATTTCATGGAGTAGATTTTAGTAGTTTTTTGTTTTTGCAGTTCGTCTCTGAAGCGGTAGACTTCATTTGGTGAGCTCACACCTGCGTACGTTCAGCTTACCAACGGCAGGAAGTGATTAATTGGATTTCCTTAAAGCTGCCGTCTGGAGATGATTTCTGTTTCTGTGTATCTGTGCGGAGATGCAGAATGATTAAAAGTGCGGCGGCGGAGACGCCGCGGCTCCCCGGCGACCGCGGCTGTCGGAGCGTTTCCAGGTGGATGGATTGAGTGGTAACCGGAGGCAGAGAAAGCACTAAATGGTTAAGTAGGTTTGTTTGTTCCTCAGGGGTTCGGAGCCTTTCCTGGACCAACAGATGAGACCAGCCGGGCAATTAATCATCCCGGTATTGGCACAAAGGATCCAGAACCAGTCAAGGACAGCTTAGAGACGCATTAGGCCGAGTCCCGCGGTCCCCAGGCGCAGCCGACCCTGCTGGGATCCGGGTAAACCAGGGGCGTCCAAAGTGAAGCCCCACAATGATACAACCAGCCAGTCTTTTTATTTTTAGATTTAATCAGGGCAAAATTATCAGACAAAAATTAAAACCTTGCAATTGGCTCTGCACTTTTCAGTAAAAGTGGCCTAAATCTTGCTTTTATTGCTCAGATTTGACAAATTTGCAGTCGAGACCTTTGAAAATTTGAAAACGTGGGCTTTTGTCTTTAACAAGACAACCCTGCAAAACTCTTTACAATTTGGATCTACAATAAAAAGCCCTCCAACAAAAACTAAAGCAACTTTACTCATCTGAAGGTGACCTGTGGTGCTTCCTTGAACAGCTTAGGATAGATCTATGGTCCTTACAAAACATGTTCATTACATTTTCTGCACTAAATCCTTCTTAGATAACGAGATTTTAGCCTGCTCAGAAAATGGATGCAAACAGACGCACAACTACACGTCCCTGAAAAGCATTAGTAGAGCCTCCTGCACAACCAACAAGACTGCAGGAAGTGGTTTCTGGATGGCAAGTCAACAACAAAACACTTGTCTCTTCCAGCAGCCATTGTATAGCGCATAAAACCAGCTGACCAAACGTGCTGGAGATCCGGTTTGGTTGCTAGGTTACAACGGAACTCTGTTATGGTTGCTAGGTGACACGGCAGCGCCTGTTAATTTGGGATTTTACATTTTTGAAAGGGCTCATTTTCCAGACACCAAAAAGCTTAAACTTTTTATCAAAATAAATAAATAACGGTTTGGTAAGCACTTGGATTATTTTTAGAAGCGGTTAATGTGAATTTTTCTTTTCCTCCCTTATTGTTTTTGGCTTGCAAGTCCCTTTGCTTCATGTTAAAGCTTGAATCTCCCTGACCAGACTTTGGAAGCTCTTCTAGTGACTCTGTCTACCGTCAACCCTCCCTTGTCAGTGAACAGGAAGTTGATGCGTGTTCCCTCATATCGACAGCGGCTGCCATGGCTTTAATCATCCTGCGCAATAAATCTCAATCAATTCAACTCAGAGGATGCGGGACACGTGCAGATGGTACGGGCTGATAGTCCTGACACGTTGTGACTGAATCAAACGTCGACACAATCAGCCTCTCTCCCACCCGGCCGTCCTCCTTTTTTTCTTCTAGGACGAGGATCCATGAAGCGGCACTCTCACTAATCTGCGCCATCAGAGTGCCATGTAATCAGAGCAAGAATCATCCGCCTCCGTTTCCCAATGTCAAGCCTTGACAGTGATATGAGGACTTATTAGTTTAACAGGAAACATAAACAAATCACAACCACTTAGCGGAGCGATCATTTCAGCAGCACTCAGCGGACATCTTCTGCGAGATACCAAAATTGAGACCGCGTCCGGGTGGGAGAGGGGGGATTGGATTGTACAGCGACGGCGGTGAACAGGTGGCTCCGTCGGCCATTTGCCAACACACGCTTGGCACCAAATGGAATAAAATGACGAAACAGATGTTCTGCTGTGCTGCGCCTTGATTTGAGTGGTGCTTATGCTGTTAAAGCCTACTGGAGTGCAGTTCTGGTGAAAAGTTTACATACAGTCATCATGGCCATGAATGTCATTAACTTCGGCCTCTTCAGGATGTATTTAAACATCTTTTTCCCCAGAGTGGAATGATTATACAGCCCACAACTTAAATGAGTTTAAAAGACAGGAATTTATTAAGATTATCTCTCATCAGCTCAGTCAAAAAAGTACATATACACCCACTAATGAAGGGGTTTCCAAAGTGAGGGGGCAATTAAAAAATTATACAAATTTGCCCCGTAGATGCAGGTGGAGACTTTTAAAATTGTTAACATAATTTTCTTACACAGGAAATTATAAAGTACAACCCAAATAAATTTTTTTCTCTTTTCAGAACCGAGTTTTGACAAAAGGTAAAAGCAAGTTTATCCAGAATCTGCCAACACTAGAGCACAGGTGTCAAACTCCAGCCCTCTGCTGTCCTGCAGGTTTTAGATGTGCCACAGGTACAAAACGCTGGAATGAAACGGCTTCATTACCTCCTCCTTGTTTGGATCAGTTCTTGCTAATGACCCAATTATTCTATTCAGGTGTGGTGCAGCAGAAGCACATCTAAAAGTTACAGGACAGCGGCCCTCTAGGACTGGAGTTTGACCCCCCTGCACTAGAGACTTTATTTCGGTTGCATTTACCCAGAATGCCATGCGCTGTAGTCCACTTCCTGCTTTTGGAGCGGTCTCTGGTCTGCTTGGTGTTCACATATGCATTCGAACTGCACCAGAGTTCACTTCATCTGAACCGAGACCGAGGTTTGTAGGCAAACTAGACTTTGCTTTTTTGGTCGATTGTGCGTTCACATCTCCCCAACTGAACTGGACTTTCCAGGCAAATGGCCTGAAGTTGGATTAAAGCGGACTAAACAAGATATTGACCCTCTGTGGATTAAATAAAACGTACAACAAACTGAAATTTCTGCACACAATCCTTGATTTATGACACAAAAGGTTCAAATCAATCACTAAAAGTCCAAGACTCTTGACTGAAACCAGTAAGTCCGATGGGAGGACTCCGACTTCCTTACTGGCCTGACAGACGTGTTGATGGAGACGTAAGGCAGCTGATCCAAGGCAAAACGAGGGGAACAGAGAGCGCCAGCGTTGCAGAACTGCTTGTGTCAGTATCTTTGGCCTTCGTTGGGACGACATCGCAGTCCAATGTTTTGCCAAAAGTCATTGACCTCTTCCCTCGGAGGCAATCGAGCTGCATTTAATGGCGGTTAGCAGTCATGCTGCTGTAAATCTGCATGACTGTGAGTCAGTAATAACATTTACAGCCAGAGATGAGTCACTCTCAGCCTCGAAGGATATCGCGACGCTCCTCCCACCGCAGCGACGGTCCCAGGGAAGAGCCTTCGGATGATCAGCTAATAATTGCCATTTTGATTTGGATATGTTTTTAAGGGAGGAGGAGGAGGAGGAGGAAGTCGGGGTCCTGAAAGCCTGTAATGACGGCGGACGGCGTGGATGACTGTGAAATTGATGCGACCTTGAAAAGATCTGGAGACAGCGAGAGTCTGCCTGGTAATTACGGTGAAAACGTGTGTAACTAACTACCATGTTCGGGGCTGCCAATGAGCACGGGCTCCCTGACCAGGCACCACACTCAATTACAGGGGAGAGGGACGAGGAGAGGGAGGAACCGGGGTCATTTTCCCCTTCGGTGACCTTCAGACTAATGCGGCCCAGGAGAGGCAGCTATTTTCTGATTCTCCCTGGATGATGTCCGCACGCTCTCAGAGAGGCCTTTTCTCTCTCCTCCACCACATCTGATACAGGTGTGGATGAAGGGGAGACTCAGTGAGAAAAAAGCCAAATTAAATCATCCACTATCTCCAAAACAAAAAAATACCAGCGACATTAAATCGAGAAGGTTTTCTAAGGGAAGCCACACTGGAAAAACTACCAGAAAAATACAAAACACATAATTTGCCAAGTATTTTGGTGACGTCTCAACTCATACCAATATTTTTCATACGTTACAAGTGCTTGTTTCTAGTAACTAGCAAATTATTTCACTTGTATGACGAAATTTTTCCCACATTTTAAGTGAAATTATCTGCCAGTGAGGGGAGTTTTCTTTTCTATGTTGGATCAAATTGCAACAAACCGCTAACTAAAAACCTAGATGTGCTAACCCTAAAGCACTAATCATAAACATTAGCTATGCAAACAGCAAAACCCCAAACCAACACACTATTTAGTGGAAGCTAATGCTAATGCTAATGTACCGGCTTCAATTCAGAATACACTGACATTATAATTTAGATTTTCTTCAATGACCTTAAGTCTTGCACTTATGTTTATATCCTTTTCTGCAGTTTTATTTTTAGATGGTTTTAAAATGTTTTTGGGTAAAAAACAGAGAACCTGAGAGGAAACAGAAAAGATGCGTACAGTTTTCACCAGAACATTAATATTTTGAGTTCTTAACAGTTGACAACCAAAACTTTAACAAAAATGTCAAACTTTATTCATCTGAAAGTTTGCAGGTTAAGTAAATTAGCAAAAAAAAACATATGCTAAAGCTAATGCTAACATGCTAACTTCAATTCAAGATGCATTGTGATTATAATTTACATGTTTTTTTAACAGCCTTAAAAGTTGTATTTGTTTATTATTCTGAAAGTTTACAGAACAGTCAAGTAAATTAGTGAGAACATAAGCTAAGTGCAGAAACACTAGGTGAAAAATTAGCTCCACTATTAGCATATTAGCAGATATAGCCCAGGTTACAAAAGTTGAATATAATCCTTTATTAGTATATTAGAACATTTTGAATTAAAAAAGAGGTTTGAATTCTTCTAAATGTCACTAAAATCTCTGGAAGAGTCGTGAAATAAGAAGTAGTAAAATATTAAAGAAGATAAAATGCCTACAAAGCAGCCAATAAATAACTTTTATCTAATAAAAGTGGAAAAACATAAATATATATACTATAACAAGACCTAATGTGATCAGGAGAAAAAACTAAATCTCTTAAAGTGTGGATACAACACAGAACAAATCGTATCTGTGCGGTTTCTTTGTTTTCCTGTAAATATATTCTGACCCCAGATATGCATGAAATGGCGAGAATGACATGAATATATACTGCAAATCTGGTGTGAAATTACTACAAAAAGGGACAGAAATGGTTGCAAAAAGGTGTAAAAGGACCACAAGTAAACAATGAATGCAAAGCACTCAAAGCGGGGTTAACACTTCAGGAATAGGATGAAAACAAGCGAGACAGAACATGATTGTAAAGAGGAAAAAAGAAATTATCGCAAAGAAAGAAAAGCCTTGAATCACGTCAGCCTGTTTGGTTCCTTTCTGCCTCTTTCAGTTTGCAGGTCATGGTTTTCTTTGGGAAATTATTCAATAAAAGAAGAACTATATTTTACCTTTTCAGTTATTTGAAAATGTAAGTTTATTTCACCGCTTAAGATAGTTTGGCTCCTTGGATGAATGAAAACATTTTTATTTCATTTTATTCACTTAACTTTAGTATTAAGAAGCTTCGATGCCAAATTTAGCTTCCAGAACAGCATTTCTGTTACCATTAGTGCTAAGATGCACGTCCTAAAACTAGGCGATAAAAATTTTATAAAAATAGTTTTTATTTTTAACATTTTTAAAAAATAAGTGTTTTTAAATGGTTTTTTTCAAATGTAATTTTTTTTACATTCAAAAAATATAAAATAAAAATAAATCAAAAATTAAAGTTTTTAAAATTTCATTAAAAAAATAAACAATTTTAAAAATGTAATTAAATTTTTCAAAATAAAGTTATCACAAATTTTATTTTATAATAAAATTTTAGTATTACGATAAACAACAATATTGTTATTTTCAGACCATGTTCTAGTAACTATGTTATTGGTATAAATAATGGTAGAAAACCTTCTCAAAGATCAATGAACTTTAAATTTTAATTAACAAAAGACATTTTAAAAATACAAATTAAACAGCAAACAAATTACATATGTATTACATAATATTACAACTTTATTCTTGTAATATTTCAACATTCTCAGAATATTTAGATTTTATTCTTGTAACATTACGACTTTTCTCGTATTTTTATCATTTTAATCTTGTTGCCGTAATACTCCATTGTACAAAACAGAAGGATTGATAAGACTTTTAGCTGCTTCCATTCACTAATGCTTTACATGACACTTGTGTCGCTCACTAAAGCTCATCTGGTCACAGTTGCGACGATGCTGGTCAGAATTGGAGCAAATCATTAATACCTAAAGGCACAACGTGACAACATTTTCTCCTAACTGGAGATATAATAAGTAAAGTTAAGCGTTCATGCCTAAGTTTGTAACACCATGCATCTAGTCTTTGAAAATAAAAATAAAATAGTAGCACTACAGCTGGAGAGTAGATAGTGATGATATACGATCTTTATATGTACAGATCAAGTTTAATCCAGTCTGCAGATTAAACACGTCACATGTTCTTTATTTTGGCATCTGAAAACGTGTTTGTGTATCTTATTCTGTCCAACTGAAGCGAAGGAGTGGAGCTTCTTCCTAATGAGTGTTGATGTGCCTTCCTGTTGAGGCAAACCAACGCCGCTTCATTTTCCCGCAGCAGATGAAGTGACTCAGAGTGGAACATGATCTCCACAAGGCGGCTGTTTATTTAAAGTTGATTGGCACGGCAAGCTAAAGTTTAGAAATGTCTGAACATAATTAGGAGGATGATTAAATTATTTTCTAATCGCGGGCCCAAAGCTCATGCCGCGTTAATGAACTTTGCCTTCTAACTTTGAAGCCCGAAACAGATTGTCCATCTGCACGACGCCATATGTGACTGGAGGCTGCTGCCGAAAGCATCAGGCTCCGTTTGGAGGCAGCGCCGGTCCAAACGGCGACGCGCAGCATCTGCAGACGGCTGACGCAGATTTATATTAACTGATTTATTGGGAGAAGCAAACAGTCGGCGTAATAAAGTTAGTCTGAAGCAACACTGTAACTCTGAAGCTTGAGTGAAATCATCCCTATGATTAATAGGTGGCTTTTCATCGCCATATGGTGCAGAAACGCAGTTTGGTGGTGGAGAGCCTCAGATCAGTTCTGGACTGCAAAAACAAACTATTACACCAAGTACTTATGGTCTAGTTTCTAATGCAAGTATCTTAGTAGACTTGAAATGAGACAAAACTAACTTACAAGCAACTTTTCAGCAAAAACAAGCTGTTATAAGTCAATAATTGCATAAAAAAGTGAAATAATTGGCAGATTATTTCACTTAAACTCTAATCTAAAAGGCAGAGACCCTCAATCTTTTGTGTTTTTCAGCTTTTTGTGATTAATGGACTTTGTACAGCGTGTTTTATAAATGGTGATAAAATATTTGAGGCTAAATAATAGAGAAATCCAGTATGGTGTAGTTTAGACATATTTTATGCATTTCACCAAGGGGTGTTTTGTTTGGACCCCCATTAGCCATTTCCATAACGATGGCTTCTCTTCCTGTGGTCCACATCATAAAAAACAATTACAGAAACGGTTAACATGATATTAGTCTTTTCATTCACACCAGTCCTGTTTCATTTAATCCAACTCCAGTCCATTTATCTAAAAACTCCGGTTCGCCAACTCTGGTCTACCTACGAACTTCAGTTTCTGTTCGGTTGAAGTGAACTCAGGTGCGGTTCGGATTATATGTGAACGCCAAGCGGACCAGAAACCGCTCCAAAAGGAGGAAGTGGACTACTTTGCAGGGTATTCTGGGTAAATACAACCAAAACAAACAAGCTAAACTCGCGCGAGTAGGAGAAATGGCTTGCTGTCTTTTTCCAAAGACAAAAAAAGAAATCCTAAAACCACTCAAATCCGACACTACTCCATTTTTATTTACATCTTATGAAGAAGGAAGTTGAGCTCTGTGTCTTTTTTAGAGGCTTCTGCGTCATTTCCTTCACTAGTTTTTGGTGCAGCGCCCCCACAGGCGAGGAGGGGAACAGATTTTTCAGAAGTTTGGCTTGTTTGACTCTGTGCAATGTGAAAGAAAACCACAGCAGCTAAAAATTTAACAAATGATGCAACTTTGGTCCCAAATTGAACCAAATTTACAGGACTAGCAAGAGGGAAAACCCCTTTATTCTGAAAAGTCCTGTTGATAATTTCTCTTAAAAACAGCAGATCATTTAAGAGAAAAAAACAAGATGTGAATTGGGTAGATAAAGAGGTAAATAATTCCTCGTTTGAAGAATCTGTATTTTTGAGTCAAATCCTGCATTTTGACATCAATGCTGGGATTTAAAAACCACAGAAGGATAAAATTGTTTGACATTTTATGAATCACTGGACATGTGTTCATTCATTTTGGCAGTGACCATGCCCACACAGTCACACGTAAACCTGTTTACTGGAGCTAAAAAACAGGGGTGTTGGTGGCGGCGAGGTCGTTAGGTGACAGGAGGTTGGTTTCAGGAAGACAACATGTTCACAGCTCACATTTCCTATTACATAAATGGGTTTGATGGCTGCTGCCTTGAAAACGACTGGAATCTGATCGGTTTGGTTTTGGCTTTATTGCCATTTGCAGTCAGATTATGTTAAATTTAGGTTTTTGTGTAATTTCTTCTTTTTATTTTGCTTCGGGATGAGAATTGTACGACTTTCTCTGGGGATTAAATATGCACATCTGAGGCAATTTTACAGGTTTGTGCTTTTTTTTTCCATCTCACATTTTATCCAGATTGGTTTCCTCCAAAATTACCGAGTTAAAAAAAAATGCTGAAAATATTGTTTTTCCTGTTTTTCCTTACAAAATCCTACCGTGAAAAA